AAAAAAAACAAAAAAAAACTGTTTACTTTTTTTTTATTACACCTATCTTAAAATATTTATTTGTTCAAAATTTTAAATAATATATTTTACTAAACTACATTTAATTAAAACCATGTTTATTTGTAAGCAATTGTTCAAATAAGTTGTAAAAAAAATATTAATATGATATAATAATTAATAATTTTTTAATAAATACTTGTAGAAAGTAAAAATGAAAATATTTAGACATGGTGAGTACGGATTATGAGATACACATCAACATCTTTCAATAGGGCAATTTTATTTTTTTCGGGCTATTAATAATATGAGAGGGGTTCATAATCTAGAAACATATGATGCGGCTAATCCTGCAAATTAACTGCCCAAATTTTATTTTATTTTTTTGGGAAAGGTTCGATCTCAAACTCTTTCTCGGAGAGAGAAGATATACAGGTCACCACGTACTTACTGACAGCTGGATTACTTTTAATGCATCCACTTCTCCCGTAGCTTTTTGAAGGAACGTGAATATTTTAGTACTGGTTTTAAGAGAATATTGATTTTTTTAGTGAGAAATAGGAAATAGAAAAAAAATTAATTTTATTTATTAATTAAACATTTATCTTTTAAAAATATATTATTTAAATTTTTAGACAAATAAAAATAAAAATAAAAATTTTTTAAATAGAAAAAATATGTTTTTTTTATCATTTTCTTAGCCAGCATGTTCCCATATACGAAGAAGAAAAATAAATATAATTGAGTTTTATTTTTTTGAGAGGATTGACCTTTGTATTAAATGGAAACGCTGACTGATGGAGAAAAGCATTCCTTTTCCGCTCAAGAAATGTTATATATTTTTTGGAATTAAAAAAAAAGGTTCAAGGCATCATCGCGTTATATGGTATATTGTACGTTTTTTTTTTTTGTTCGTGAATATGGAATTTTCCTATCAAATCAGGTTGTAGTGGTTGTGACGGTTTAGTGTTACTATCCAAATTTTCGATGATGACCGCCTGCATTATCTAGGAGTTAATCCTAAATAACACGAAGATTTTTTTGAAAACATCAAATATATAAAATCTCTCTATCTCTCTCTCTATATATATATAATCCTTAAATTATAACATCACTAAAACTTTATATATTCACCAAATTAATTTTATAAACTCATAACTTATAATCCACTTTGATTATTCAATTAAATCAAATCTGACAACAATATCAACAACAATAATACAATTTCAAAACAAATAAATATATACATTTCTTCATCTTTTCTCTATTTTCTCTTATATTTTAATAAGAATAACATTCTTAAATAGAAGCGAATAGTATTTGGTTAAAATTGATTAACCAAACTAAATCAAAGCGAAATATCAAATTGATTCGATTTTTAATTAATTCGATTAACAAAAATAAAATAAAATTAATTATGGTTATTTATTTTTAAAAATTTTTAATTTTCTTTTTACCAAAAACTGAATTTATTTTTAAATTTTTAAAAAAATTTGAATTTTTTATTGTTATTTAAAGTTTAATAGCTTAGTTTACAACATATTTGAATAACGAACAATTTTTTGTTATTATATATTTTAGATACAGATTAGTAAACTTGTATTTGAATTTTAATTTTTTGCCATTTATGATATTTTAAAAATTAAAAAAAAATTGTCTTTTATCAAAAAACCAAAAACTGAAAACTAAAATTTGGGTTTTATAAACCGAATAAAAATTCTATTTGATTCGGTTTTTTTATTGAGTAGTTCAATTAATCAAAAATTAAATGGAAACATTAAAAATCAAAAATTGAAAAATTGAATGCTAACTCCTACTCTCAAAGCATAAAGAGAGTTGCAAAAAAAAAAAAAAAAAAAACTACAACAACAACAATGTCTGTAAAATGACCATTTTGCCCCCTCTATCAATTTTAACCCACAATTATAAATACTAGGGCAATATCAACTTTCTACTTCAATTAATTTAATTTCCATTTAACTCCCAAGTCCACGATTTTCCTTATTCACAATTCAGACCATGGTATCACAGTTTGGAGAGTGCCGTTAAATATCTTAGGGTCCTTTCATCTTTGGCCAGCTTTCAAATAGAGAATGTAAAGCTATAATTGATAGGTTAAAATTTGGGAACACGTTATAGTTTGAGTACTGTAGCATAGAATTTTTTACCGCAACTTGACATTGCATTCCATGTTATAAAAGTTACTGGTGAGCATTTTGAGTTTATCTCAAGCAGTCATCATAGTAATACGTAGGTCACTCAAATGTTTCCCTACGGCTATGAAAGGCTAAAATCGTTGGTCAACTATTTGCCTTCTAAGAAAAGGTGGGTCTGTAACTACAGAGGGCATTAATAAAGAAGTGGAAGCAGCGGGGCCAGGTATGTTTGATGGATAGCATGATACGAGAGTTTCTTTTATTTGTTTCCATATGAATTCTTCTATTCATGTACATTTATATGGTCAATTTGCATGAGTCACCCTCCATGTGAGATGAAATATTCATATTGCTTCAATTATGTGTGTACTGATCGTTAGTGCCCACCTACCTTTTTTTTTTTCGTATCATTGCTGTTAATCTTAGAGGCTCCAATGTAGCACATAATTATAAGAGGTTATATGAAACTATTCAAGCCTTTGGAGGGATTCAAACAAAGCCATGGTTGAAAGTTGTACTATATTTATTTGAAAAGCATCCATAAAGAAGTAAAAAAACGCGTAGGACTCTTGCTTCTTCAGTAATTCATCTTTCTCCTACTGTAATTACTGAAGGTCTTCCCTGTAATTGTAGGCTAATAGAGAGAGACGACATATTTACTGCATGTGATGTCTAATAAATTTATATTTACAATCAACTTATTTCCTTCAATTCCAATTACAAAATTCATTAATGGTTTTGGAAAATTGAAATTAAAAAAATTATTTTGTACACAAAGCTTAGATATCCCACTATCGGAAAGAAAACTTTCTGCGTTCAAATCTATTCTCATTATGATACATCTTTAAATGATAAAAAAAAAAAAAAATGATCAATAGTAAAGGACATGATGTGTGTAAATTATAAGTAGTGGCTTATTGTTCAGTTGTAACAGCTTGCTCCCTCAAGGGAGGAAGACAGTCTATTTATTTACTAATTAAGTGAACCAAAAAAAGTTGAAGAGTTTGTTGTCGATTATATATAGCAAAATCTAACAAATGAAGAGAATGATATATTATTCTAGAAATTGTCTTTTTGTTTCGATAAAATTATTGTTTTTTTTTTTTTTTTTTTGAGTATAGTAAGAAGAAATAAAAAATTGTTTTAGCAAATATCACATGTTATATCATAGTAATTATAAAAGAAAACTAATGGAAAGTCACGTGTCATTTTAAGAAGAAAGATCTTAATTTCATTTTCAACGTGAAGGAAATGATATCAAAATAAATATCACATGACCAAAAACTCCAACCAAAAAGCTAATAAATTCGAAGTACGCATTAAACACGAACCCACGGCCCCTTCCCTTGTGCTAAAAGAAATCTGTAAAGAAATCGAGTCAATTTCATATTTAAGAATCCCTTAAAACTAAAACTGCAAGAGGGAGGCTAAAGACAAAATCTTATGTCTTTAACATTATAATTAAGAGTTAAAACTGAGACTTCAAACTTTTGATTGGACAAAAAATTGGGGAGCATTAAGTGTTCATTTGGTTTGGTAACTGGCATTATCATTATCATTATCAGTATTTGTTTTTATCAACTGGAACAGGACTTTCCTTTCACAAACTAGCCTCAGGTGGTACGTCGTTGTTAAAATATTCAACTCTATTTTAAATTACTAATATGAGGGGCAGCATATGATTCAACAAATCCTTAGTTTCTTTTTTTTTTTTTTTTTTTTTTTTACAGTTTCAACACTCTCTCTTTGTTTCATCGCTAATAATACTCAGTAAGCATCCTACGGGCATCAAGCATGGAAAGACATGCAAAGAATGGGACGATATAATGTTCCATCCCAATAATTGCAAGTTCCTCAAATTATGTTTTGGGAGAAGCAAAAAGGAAGCATTAGCACCCGCTGTGTAATGTATCAGCATGGAGGAGTGAGGAAGGGAATGCAGTAGTAAGCCTAGACAATAAAAGGAGGTAGAGTACGTAATAGCAATGAGTGAAGTTACTTCCCTATTAATTTGATCGTGACTACTGATCGACCATCTGCACTTTTTATTTCTAACTCATCGACCATCATCATGGTGGTCCACTCGACAAATCAATCTTTCTTAGAGGTCGTAGGGTTAGATAGTGTATATAGATACAAAATGGAGCGTGGTACATCAACAACATGAAGTGATCAGTTTATGATTATTATTTTTTCCCTGTATTAACCATCTTCCCTAACCAAATTTGTTGCTTTTCCTTTGCGAAAATTTGGTACATATTAATTGATATTAATAGACTGTTTGCATGATATTCAAGGGGTTAAAAAGCTAAAAGATCGAGGCCAGTACTGTCCTTAACTAATTTGACTTAATGTTCAAGCACTTGCTGATTTGGTGAAACAAAGAATACAAATCCAAGCCAATTACGTGAAATTGAAAGATTAACTGGTTCATTACATTCTTAAATTATCCCCATTTGTGTGCTTTTTTTGTGTGTGTGGTAAAATGGATGCATGCCCTTTTACCTTTCTGAGGTCAGCCGTTGCCCTTAGACAAGCAAACTCGAAGTACTGCACTACTGCTAATTAACCTTTTCGTTTCTATTTCCTTTTGGTATCTCTCAAATTAGTTCTCCTTGAACAAAAGTTCTCCTTTCTCCTAATAAAAAAAGGAACTCGACTGACTTTCATTTGATCGGGTTCAAGTCCAGGCTTTGCAGAATACCCAAGTTAGAAACTTAGGCCTCTAGTTCGGAATTAGTAGTAGATTGGGAAAACTGAGTTGCTCTTAATTTGTATCCAAGCTTAACGTTTAACCTGATTCTGTGATTCACTAGTTGAAGATAAATGGTTAGCGAAACTAGTGTAATGGTCCGTGGGGACCTTCAAGATATAGTGGAAACCCGATGGGTAAGAGAGAAGATGAAGTGGGCCAGCGCAGTACTTCAGCAACGTCAGATTTCATTCCACTTTAAGGTAAACAAACTCAACGTCAATATTAATGGCAGATGGACGTATACCGCTTTTGGCTACATCTTTAAGGAAATCACATCGACCTGGCTAGTGGGGTTGGTTCTCTTTTTGCATGAGCCAAAGTCTTATCCCTAGAAACACTCAAACCAGTTTTCTTTGCCTGGTTGTCTTACATTTCTTTTGTCTTGGTGCACCGTTACTTTTAACTTTAGAAATCTGATATTTGCCGGTGGTGATTGTTGAATCCACAATTATGTGGTGGATTTGCACTAGCTAGTTTCTTTTTTTTCTTTTTTCGGTACGGAAGGTTCATTGAGTCGTTTTGATGAATATTATCTGTGTCATTATTCATGCATACTGTTTACGAGGAGTTCGAGAATGTAATGAAAAGGTAGTCATACAAAGTTGCAACTCGTTAATTAAAAGGGGAAAAAAAATTTGCAAGCGGCAACTAGCTTCATGATCCTAAGGTTTATTGGTTTGCCGATGCCTGAGTAAATTATAAATTAGTCCTTCTAGTTTTTGAAAATGAATTAAATAGTCTTTTTAATTTTAAAAATTAAATAATTAATTTAAATTTATATGTCACTTTTTTTAAAAAGGAAAAATAAATAAAAATATGAAAGTATAGATGAGAAAACATAATATTTTCAAAACAAAATAATATTAAATTAACCATAATCAATACTAACCAAATAACTAATTAGTTAATTTTTGAAAAAAAAACTATTTAATTTATTTTACAAAACTAAAAAGACTAATTTATAATTTACTGGTCAATACTTACACTTATAAATATGCTAATAAAAAAAATTTTCACTGAACATGTAAATTAGGGCACAAACTAAGGAGAAAACACATGCAATAATAATATTGTCAATGGACCAAATTAAGTTTTAAATACTTGTTTGTACCTACGAAGGTCAAATGACTCACGTCATCTAATTCTACGTGTGTTGGGTTGAATATATGGGGTGAGATGTATTGACAAAATCAATGTAGTTCTATAAAGAGTTGTGTCTTGTCCATTAGGACAAAAAACAACGGCAACGACGGCAAGTACAGAATGAAGGTGAAATTATTAGGTGTACTTTTTCTTCTCACATAAACTTTATATAAATTATAAAAATTATCAATGGACAGAAATATCACAAGATTTTCAGATGTTATATAATATTTGATTATTTAAAATGCTGATATGCTTTCTCATTTGTTTTGTTCATACAATAGCTAGATATGAATGTACATTTTTCTGGAGATTAATGACAACCTTTGGACGAAATTAATTTTAAGGATCCTTGAATTTTTAATTTTTTCAAATGTAACTCATATTTCAGTTTTTTGCTATTTATCACTCAAAAAAAATCAAGTAAATAGTTTCATGATCAAAAATTATCTAGTGATATTTATGTGAGACTCTTAAAAAAATTTGGAATCATTTTACAGTTGTTTTTTATTTTTTCAATTTTCTATATTTTTAATATTTAAAAAATAAATAAATATAGTTTTTTTATTTTAAAAAATTCTAGAATTTTTTTACAAAATAAATTGAATTTTTTTCCACGTGTATGTAAAATTTTAACTTAAAATATTGAGAATTAAATTTGTTAGAAGGGAAGATGATAACTGATAATCATTAGATTAACTAAATCTGAAAAAAGAAAAATTAAAAGTTTAAGAATCCTCAAAATTAATATAAAAAAATAAAAGACTCAATTTCAAATTACTTAAAGTTCAAGGGTCTTTAGATCCTTTTAGATAGAAATTAATGGATATGATTAATAGCTTTTACTTTCTAACTAACTAATAGGATTCAAAATCTAGTATTAATTTGTAATGAGTAAAATTCTCAAAAAAATTTCATGTTGCTATGGATTTCTGTTTTTTATCAAACTAAAGAAGTGAATTGATAAACGGATTAAAAATTCTCATATTTAATCTTTGTATTTTCATATTATTTATAACTTAGTCCAGTTGTTCGCTATTCGGGTATGGATTAATTACGTTAGCTATTAATTAAAGAGGTAATAGATCTATTGATGGTCAAATCTGTTTAGGGTATATATTAATTTTTTTTTAAGGTTAAATGGGTCAAACCATCTCTTAATTTTAACTCATTTAAAATTGAATCTTTAAACTTAAAATTTTGTTTTTAAGATCCCTAAACTTAATTTTATTTTTTTAAGATTTAGTCAAACCTTCAATTTTTGTCATTTATTGTAAAAAATAACGATCACATAAACAATTCCATAATGAAAATTATTTAATTAGATTTTTTGGGACTCTTCAAAAAATTTAAGATCATTCTAGGTTATTTTTTTATTTTTTCTAATTTTCTATATTTTTAATGTTATATATATATATATATATATATATATATATGTTTTTTTATTTTGAAAAACTCTGGGATTGTTTTAGAAAATAAATTGAATTTTTTAGAGAGAATGATGATATTTGAAAATCATTTGATGGACTAAATATGAAAAAGTTAAAAGTTTATAGATTTAAAAAATTAAATTTAAAGTTTGAAAACTCAATTCAAATAAGTTAAAAATTTAAGGAGAGATTTGACTCATTTAGCAATTTTTTTTAAAAAAAAACACACACACAAGCATCTATAATTTATTCAAGAGAGAGAGAGAGAGAAGGAAAATGATCAAATATTGTAAAGAACCTTATATTTGGATAAAATTACTGGCAGCCACTGACAAAGTGTTTTTTGAAGGGACTCTAGCTATTGAAGGGGAGCATTTTTGTTTTCTATGAAATGTTTTGAATTGAAATTTTATATTAAGAGAAAAATATTAACCAAACAATAATTTAATTTTACGAGTAATTCGAATCAAATCTTAACAGGTTATTTTGATGGCAAAATACTATAACATGCCGTTTCGTTATCTGGTGATGAAGTTACACCTGCTTTGCAAACACATCTTGTTTTTCTATTTAGTTCAATTAAAAAGCCAATAATTTTTCATACAATAATGTTGTTAACAAATTATTACTTTTGCAGTAATTTTTTTAATTATAATATTTGTCAATTTTACGGTAATTTTTACCAATTTGTTAAAGAGAAAAAATTTCAGCAACAGTAATTTTGCCACTAATTATCACTTTTGCTAATAACGATCTGAAGAACCACAACAGTGGCATCAAAATGGTCTTAACCAGGTTACGGAGGATTTGAAACTTAAAAGAAAGTGATGTTTAACAAATTTAGGACAAGTTTGGAGTATGGATCCTAAAAGAGTTTGGACTCGGAATGAGGTTTACTTCTGTAGATACCCAGTCCATGCTATGACCCAAAAAAATAATTATTCAGTCCATATGGTTTTAGCGAAATAATTAACTAATCCTTTTATTTTAGCAAATTCAAAATTAAATCAATGTATTTTTCTTATTAATTAGGCACTTAGTCATTTCATAATTTTCCTTAACAATTTAATTATTATTATTATTTTCCTAAAATGTCTTTGATTTATAGTCAAATTTTATAATCTCATCAATTACAAATAAAACCAAAAGATTATTTTGTACTTTTGAAAAAGAGTTATCAAGCAACTTTGGTAAAAGGATGAACATATGATTTCCAAAGATAGAACACTGACTTATAGATCGTAAAAACAATAAGGACTAACTTTTTATTTACTCAAACTAGATGCTGAGTGATAGTGATGCTGCACTTTGTGTTCTCATCTTTTTCACCAATAATATTAGAAATGCTGTCCACTCTTCACTTATATCCGAGCCACTCACCCATGTCGTACCGCGCACATGGGAGAACCTGTGCATGAACAGCGACGTGTATGTCTTCTATTGTTGATTTTTAGACGTTCACATTGAGAGCTCCATTTATTGCTTTGCGTTCTTCCAAGTTCCGCCCATGAAATTAATAGTATTGTTAACTTTCCCGATTTTAACTGGTGTGCGTTTGAGATTGAGAAACATATATACAAATACATGATTAAATATACAATAAAAATTAGACTTATACATCAGATTCAAGATTTCTATTATTATAATTAATATTTTTAAAATATTTAATATTGTTCATTGAAGAGCATCTATTATCCATGTTCAATAAGAAATTAACCTCGGCGTGAGCAAACATTATTTCAAAAACACTTTTATTAGTGAAAATAAAATTTAACCAAACCGGGGGAATTGTATTTGGGAAAACAAAAACCTTAAAAAGCCATAGATACTTTTGCTCCAAACAGAGCCTAACAAATGTTCTCTACAAATGTTGTCTTCCCTATTAAAAAAAAACAAAACAAAACAAAACAAAACAAAAACAAAAACCACAAATATTCTTTTAATATTCACAAATTTTCTAAACTCAGAAGTAAAATGAACCTGTAATTGTTTTCTTCTCTTAATCGTTGGGAGGCTCGCGAATATTGAGCTACTCTTTTTAATTCTACAATAAATAAATAGATTGAAATCATTAGAATTTAAATCTATTTTACTAAAAAAAATTAAAAATTACCGAATACACAGTTATTATTAGACTATACCTATTTGCTATTTGACTATTTATATAACCTGTAATGTTTTTTGTTCTTGTTATCATAATATATATATATATATATATATATATATATATATATATATATATATATATATATATATATGCTTACCACGAGACCAAAAGTAATTAAGGTAAATCAACAGTGTATCATTTTGTTAATTTACTTAAGAGGACTTGTGAATCGTTAATTGTTACCCCGTGGTTGATTTATCCACTTGAGTAGAAGTACCCAAAATTTTAATGCAGCTATACGTGCATATTTAGAATAGACTTGGTTCTACACGTTAATTAGCATGATGATCCTTCAGGTTAAACAATTCCATTTCTAGGTTGAACAATTCTGGACAAGCATACTACAATTCTGTTCGGCCTCGGGGTGGTAGAAATAGCGTTTTGGGCTTTTCCAGCTCAAAACACTCCAAACGTTAGAATTGGGAATCTTCCACTTTGGAGTTTTTCCAATATTTTTTCCTCATTTTATTCATTAATGTAATTGTAAATATACTTCTATCAAAATACTTCAATTTTTTTTTCTTTTTCCATGATAACCACTCCAAAAGCTTGCATGGTCCCCGACTCCCCGTCCTCCATGCCAAACACAGCCTAAGGAGCATCGAAGACTTTACTATATGATTCGTGCTTATCTCCTGGAGTTGCTTGAAAAGTAAGGTCAAGGCAGATCGCAGGTTAAATCTTATATAGGTTTTGCCTCTTTCCGGTCTCCGGTTCATTTTTATATACATTAAGGAATCTTATTACAACGTAGATAACTGTAAGATTATAGCCCTCTAATAAAGAAGTATCAATTTATAGATCAGATTTAATATTTAATTCTTATGATCAATATTCTTGAAAATTTCTAAAATTATTGTATTAAAGAGTATTCTTTAACCATACTTAAGGAGAAATTTCAAATTTTCTGAAATTATGTATTGAAGAATATTATTTAATCATATTTAAAAAGAAATTAGTTTCTAAGTGTGTGAAAATTGGCTTGAAAACACCTTTATTGTTGAACCTGATAAAATTATAGGTGTGACCCCAGGATGATTTCCATAATTTCTTTGAAAATAAAATATTCTTAAATTCCCTGATATTGATATTGTATTCTGTTTTTGATCGGACTGGAAAAGTGAATATACTTCTATCTGTCAAAAAATTAATTACTTTTAATCAAATCCCCGCAGTTCGGGTAGTGATTAGAATTAAGCCGTTGTTAGAAGAATTAAGCTTGCTTGCTTGAGATGTACTGTGAATCAGATGTGCGTCGCGGATTCAATTATCATCGCTAAGTCGATGCAAAACAATTACGTACGGACTACATCGAAGGATTTCAGCCCAAAATTTAATTTACATGCTGAAAATGATTAATCAAGTAAAATGATCTAAATACCTTTGTTATCAAAGAAAAAAAAACTTTGAAACATATTACGGCGAATGTCAGCTCGACATGTACATGGTCCATTCCCTATTAGACCTTACCTTCTAGTAATTTATTTTTTCATAAGCGGTGAAAACTCATTAAAATCTCCAAAAACCTTACGAGCTAAAAAAAATGGAGGAAGAGAAGTACAAATATCCTTCACAGAATAATAGAGGAAGAAGCAAAAAATAACAGAGAGCCCAGTAGAGGGATGCAAGAGCAGAAGAAAGAAGAATATAATTTGCATCTGATTATTTGGGCTGGGGCCTTGACTGTTTTGAAAGAAGCACAGTTGAGTAATCCACGTACAGTCCTGCTTGCGCTTACGTAGGTGGGTTTACATCACAATTCACAGGCCACAACCGGCTTAGTAGAATTGCGCCGACCCTATAGATCCCTCCTATATCTGTATATCTCTATTCTCAAGGGTCTCGATCACTTTTTTCGCTTTCCTGAAAGAAAATTGCACCCCTTCAACAAACCCACAACTAATCAACTTTTCCAACTACAGTACTAATAATTTTCTGGAGTATCTTCGGTAAGAGGTTCTGGGTCTGTGTACAAATAATTAGTTAGCTTGATTATATATGTGTGAGAATATGTTCTTTATCCCAATTCTTGTACTTAGCTCATTATAATATGCAAGGTACTATTAGGTACTGATTCTGATCAGCATGGTCGGATTTTTATATTTTTTAATCGTTCGTCCGCATTAATTTTGAAGACTGGCAGTGCATTTGTAATAAGCCATATGCTTCTGCATGAATTAACCAATCCAATGGCTATTGTGTGGTACGTGTTGAGCAAGAGAGAATCTAGGAAAAACTTCTCTTTTGTTTATTAACCACTCACTGGATAGAGTTTGTTGCAAGAGATTATATACCTCCTGCGCTATAATCTCTGCATCACATGTATATACACTATACTACATCAATACATGCACAGCTGGATGATGGAAAATATAAATATACCTTTCTCAATACTCCTTCTCAAGTCGATGATTTATACAAATCATAAACGCTCAATTTAGAAAGAAGAAATTCATGACGTTTGTTGCTGAGCCTTTTTGTTAAAATGTCTGCTACTTGCTCCGTAGTTCTAAGAAACACAATCTTGATAAGTCCTTCTTTAAGCTTCACTCTAACTAGATGACAATCTATTTCCATGTGCTTAGTTCTTTCATGATATATTGGGTTTGAATCAATATGCAAAGCTGTCTTGTTATCACAATTCATTTCAACAAGCTTCAAGTTTGTAATCTACAATTCCTTTAAAAGTCTCACCAACCAAACTACTTCACATGTAGTCGAAGCCATTATTTTGTATTCGACTTCAACCGAAGATCTAGAAATCATATGTTGCTTCTTTGTTTTCCATGATAAAAGGGAATTATTAAGAAATACATAGAAGCTTGTTAAAGACTTCCTAGTCATAGGACAAGAAGCCCAATCAGAATCACAAAATACTTTGAGTTATAAATCACTGGATTAGGACAACAAAATACCAAGCCCTGGACTACCTTTTAGATATTTTAGAACCCTTATTACTGAATTCATATGAGATGTCTTTGTTTGATGCATGAAATGAACAAGAATTTGTAATGCATAGCATATATCGGGTTTGGTTACTATCAAGTAAATCAGTTTTCCCTCCAATCTTTGATATTCGGTAAGATCTTTCAATAACGTGTATGTACTTACATTATGAATGGCCTCATTAAACTCAACTATGGTAAGCTTCAAATTTTGTTCCAATGGCATCTCCATTGGTTATTAAGCAAGCAAACTCGTATCATATAGTAATTCCATAGTATAATTTCTTTGATTCAAATATATTCCTTGTTTGGATCGAGCTATTTTTATTCCCAAGAAATATTTCAAGCTACCCAAATCCTTAATGTAAAAGGTTGTATGTAAAAAACTCTTATGTTATTGTATGCCTTTAACATCACTTCTTGTAATCAAAATATAATCCACATATACTAGCAAGACAACAATCTTACTAGCTATCACCTTAGTGAACATGGAATAGTCATTTTGTTATTGAGAATATCCTCGCTAATATCATTGTCTCATTGAATTTAAGATTCCATTGCCTCGAGACTTGGTTTAAACCATAAAAGGATTTAAACAATTTGCATACTAAGCCTTCCCCTTAAGTGCTAAGTCTAAGAGGCAAAGTCATATGAACCTCTTCATGGAGATCTCCTTACGGAAAAGCATTAGTGACATCCATTTGATAGAGAGACCAATTCGGACGATAGCTATAGAAATGATGGTTCTAATAGTGACCATTTTAACAACTAGTGAAAAAGTTTCACCATAATCAATGCCTTCTTGTTATGTATATCTCTTAGCAACCAATTTGGTTTTGTATCCGTCAACACTACCACATGACTTAAACTTCACGTTGTAAATCCATTTGCAACCTATGGGATGCTTCCCTAATGGTTAAGGAACTAAGTCCCATGTTCCGTTCAAGAGCTTGGAGCTCCTTAGTCATAGTGTCTATCCACTTAAGATCCTTAATGGCTTCGAATAAGTACTAGGTTCTCTAATAGATGAGATAGATGTAAGAAAGATGGAATAGGTAGGAGGAAAGGAATTGAAAGAGATGAAATTTGTGATTGGGAATGAAACAAGTAAGATGAAGAGTAGTAACATGAGATTGAGGTAAAGTTGGACAAAAAAAATCTTTAGACCAAAAAGGTTGTTTGGAAATTCGATGAATCTATGAGGAGGAATTATATCATATAAAAGGGGTGAAATAGAAGGACGATGAGAAATAGAGGAGGATTCTAGAGAATAAGAGATTAGATGTGAATGAGTGGAATATGGAAGAGAAAACACTAGATATGATGATGCATCATCATCATAAATCCATTGAGAAATAAAATTAGGAGTATGGACTATAGGAGAAAAAAGGATAGAACTGATATCCGATGAAATAAAAAAAAGATGATAAGGGAATATAGACTCACAAAACAAGACATCATGAGACACAAAAACTTTTTGAGTATGTAAATCTAAGACTCGATAACCCTTTTTGTAAGTAAGGATAACCTAGAAAAAAACAAGGTTTGGATTGAGGAGAGAATTTATTAGGACAAGGTAAAACTTTAGCATAACATAGACATCCAAACACTTTAAGATGATTAAAAATAAGAGGTTTATGAAACAACAACTCAAATGGAGTTTTACCATTTAAAAAAGGGGTCGGAGTTCTATTAATGAGATATATAGAAGTTAGAATACAATCTCTCCGAATATGATAGGTATATTCTATTGAAACATAAGAGCTTGAGCAATATTTAGGATGTGTCTATGTTTTCTTTCTATAACTCCATTTTATTGTAGAGTGTAAGGAATAGTTGTTTCATGAAAGATACCTTCGAAGAAAAAAAAATCTTGATAATCAAGTTGAAGGTATTCGAACCTTATCCGACCTTACTCATTTAATGTTACAATGAAATGTTGTATGAACAAGAACACAAAATTTCTACGAGTAATTGGAGTGCTTGGGATTTGGTCTTCATAAGAAATGTCTAAGTCCCTGTAGAAAAATCATCAATCATGGATAAAAAGTATTTTCTTGATTGTAAGTAAATGTTTATAGGGATCTCATATGTCAATATGGGTAAGCTCAAACAAAGAATGAGTAATAGATGTACTATGTGGAAATGCTAGTCTTGTTTGTTTGGTAAAAGGATAAATGTCACATAACAAATCGAATGTGAAGAAGGTACCGATAAACCAAGAATTAATTTTAGTCTATAAAATAATATATGTCCAAAATGTTTATGCCAAAGTATTGTATCACCCGAGAGATAAGATATATTATGACTAGCTTTATTACAAAAAAAAGTTACTAGACCTTTGAGAAACTGAAAAAGTATTCTTAAGAATGCCAATAGAAGTAGTAGTTTGAAAACAAAACGAAGATGAAGTTGTGATAGACTTAAATGTGTTTGGCATGATATGGTATAAACCATCTTTAACTTTACAAATCCTCTTTGTCCTCCTAGTCTTGAGGTCCTGAAAGAGACAAAAATATGTTTAAAAGGATGTTAAACAATTATTTTCAGTAGTGAATTTGGCTACTAAAAACTAATTGAATTTGAATTCGGGTAAGTAATGAACATCCCGAAGGTTTATTAAGGAAAAAGAGACTGAACCTATTTGAGTGACTTGAATTCTATTGTCATTAAGTAATCCGATAGTGTAATATGATGCTAATTTCCTAGGATTATCTAAGGAATCAAAATGTTCAATCATGTGAACATTAGCTCCCGTGTCCACGTTCTATTCATCATTAATAGAAACAATATCAATAAGGCTACAAACGAACTCACCAACCATGTTTGTTGTAGGTTCAACCTTTGGATTAATTCTTCCCGAGGTGGCATCTCTTGATAAAAAATTCAATATTTGTTGGTATTCTTCGTAGGAAAATGCGGGAGGTGAACACGACTTGTTGGAATTCGATCTATATTATCAAATAGTTGTGTTTTTGGACTATTATGATGACTAGCAATATCATATCTTACAAAATATGCATTATGTGTATTATAAGATCTTTGTCTACCTCCGCCAAAAGTAGTACTTGCACATCTTCTTCCTCTCGGTGTTCCCGGAAAACTTATTATTTGAATTTAGATACTTATGAAGTTTATAACATGAATATTTGGTATGCCCTAAGATATGATAATAATCATAAATAATGTCTCTTTGCCAATTGCCTCTATCGGTGAATTGTTTGCCTTGATATGTAGTTCTAGTGGAATAAAATGCGGTAGGCACCTCTTGATATGGATGAAGTCCTCTCGTGTGATTCTTTATTAGAAACCATAGAATAAGCTTGTGAGTGACTAGGCATAGGATTCATTAATAAAATTTGAGACCTTATAGGTTGAAATTGATCATCTAATCCAATCAAAAACTCGCATCATCTTTTATTGTTATGTGTACTCAACAAAAGGTTGAGAAACTTCACTTTTACAGCTTGGATAAACATAAGTCAATGTAGGTATTAAAATATCATACTAATCCCAAAAATGCTTAAATTTTGAATAATAGATTGATACACTATTAGTGCTTTGAACCGATGAATTGATTTCCTTATGCAAAGCAAAAGTTTTAGCTTCGTGTTGTTTATCAAACCTTTCTTTCAAGTCCTTCCAAACTTCTTTAGTAGATTGATAGTATAGCAAGCCATTGAATAGTTGTGTAGATACTGAATTCAACATCCAAGCATGAACCAAAGCCTTGCATTTCTTCCATTGTTTATAATCAAGTGAATCGAGCACTGGTTTGAAACGCTTGCTAGTTACAAAGCCATCCTTGCTCTTGGCTTCCAACGAAATTATTATTGCCTTGCTCTAGGAGCTATAATCTTCTTTACCTCCGAGTAAATGTGTAATAAGAATTAGATTCAATGTATCCGATGAATGAAGATATAAAAGATCATTTGTATCTCAAATTACTTCGCAAATCTTGAAGAACTAGAAATATCATGAGGATTTGCCATGAATATTATATGAAAAACAAATTTAAGAACAAAACTCTCATAGAAAGATAACTAGATCTTTGAAAAACACAAAAAGAAATACGATTTAGATGTTAAGAGCAGTTTCTTTCGAAAGAAGAAGAAGACGAATTCACTAGCTCTAATTCCATGTTGAGAAAAAGGGTATATGGGAAAAGTTCTCTTTTGTTTATTAACCACTTACTGGATAGAGTTTGTTACAACATGTTATATACCTCCTTGGCTATAATCCTCTGCATCACATGTATATACACTATAATATATCTATACATATACAGCTTGATGATGGAAAATATAAATATACCCTTCTCGATAGTACGGAATCATAATCTTTTCCAGGATTTGTGTTAAACTCCAAACAGTTAATATTTTAAAAGCTTGAGTTATTAATTAGTGGTATCAATAGAGTACCAAGATTTTCATGTTAATGATAACATAGATGATCATAATTTGTACTTTGTAATTTTTTTTATTACAGTTTTTATTAACATTTAGAAAAACTCAAATTTCAATTCTTTTTTTCATCACTGTATATACGATCTCTTACAAGAGAAGGAGCTACTTCATTGATTTAAGATTATTTCTAGACGTATTTATTTATTTTTAATCTGTTTAATTTCCAAAGAACCTGTATTAAATTTATATTATTGTCCACAAATGAATAATTGCAAACCTTAATTTCATGCTCGTGGAGCAATTTGTTTCCTGCCTTTTTTTTTCACTATTTTTTTTAATGTAGCAGTATTATTATTTTATGTCAGAACGTCACTCCTTAAAGTACACTGCAAATTTATTTCCAGATGTATAAACTATCCATAATTAACAAAAGAGAAACATACAAAATAGATACAAGGATGCAAGATACATGTATTAATTAATTATTGCCGTACGTAAAAAAAAAAAAAAAAAAAACCTAGTTGATCTCTAACGATGACTGAGTGATCACTAGGGGGTTTCGTGCTACCTCTTACAATGCCTCAAAATCAGCTCTCTCAAGTTTGAATCGCTCTCGAACATACGATATGTAGGTTGCAGCTTTCATGTCAACATTTTCGTCACCACCAGAGTCTGGAAAACTTCTCAACTTAGTAGTGGAAACCTTTTGGATTGATGGAGGGTTTGGGCAATAGCTCTGGCGAGTGTAAGAATCAACAGGACTGCCATTTGTAGTATACGGGCTACGACTGACCTTGCTACTACTAGATTGCAATGGCTTGGAAGGCTTGGTCATTCCAAACACAGACTTGACCAGCTTACCTCTAACAAACCCATGATTCGATCCCTTGTGTTTTGCTTCCATTTTTTCTTCAACTAGCGGAAGACAAGAAGAGTTATGTGAGAGGATGTGATCGTGTGGTTAAGATTACAAGTTTTTTTGCCTATGTGCATTCCACAGACGCATTTTAGCTATATTTATAGATGGAGCTGCTATACCTGGGTGTCCGATTCTAGTTATTTTAATTGCAAATATATCCCTCCAGTTTATTTAAATAGGACAATTGTCCCTTATTATGGTGACTTGGTGCCTTTTGATTGGGCATTAAATGACTTGGGCAAAATTGGCAAATTGTAATCCAAGTTGCCTTTGTGTGAATTGGGCAAAAAATGCTGTAGATAAACATGAAACATGTTGTTGGTCCACCGCCCATTCCGGTCCAAGATTTGGAATGAAGGGTTTGGATTATATTCCCAAGTTCATGCTGAGCTGCTTTAATTTGAACTGTTTGCTTAGATATGGTTCATGGAGGACTCGGTGTTGACTGTTGATGCTTCCCTACCAAGCACATAACAATTAAGAAGATACGGGTTCCTTTTCTTTTCTAGACGTATTTTTTTTTCTATTTTCTCGATCTATCCATGATAAAAAAAGAATGCTATATGTTTAGCCAAAAAATGTGGAACTCTTTCTTGTTTTGCGAAACAAAATAAAGTAAATATTATCATGCGATTAAAGTTCATCATAAGCAAGTAGAGTCATGTAAAAAAGAGACAGAGAGAGAGAAACTTTTGACCTCGTTGTTGTACTCCAAATAAAAACTCTAACTTATGGTATACTACAAGATATGATGGAGCATAAATCATCCTAAGACGGTCCAAAAGGCGTATGAACGGGAGTCAACAATAATATCTGACGTTTAAGCATGAAAAACGAATCTCTCTGTGAGATCTTTCGTCTTCCAAAGTGCCAGCCCAAGGACTCAGATATATGGTAAGCTTTTTGAGGATCCACGGTTAATCGTTTAACCGAAAGGAAACCGCCCTTGTCTCTGCATACCTTTTCTTCTTGAGATGATCCACGAAGCATCATACAATATTTGAGTTTTCCCACTATATAAATTCTCTATTTTTCATTTTTTTTTCCATTGAGATTTTTTTTTTAGTTTAATTGAAACTCTCTATTTTTTTAATTAATTTTGATAAAAATTCTTTGTTTACAATGTCATTTATTATTAATTCAACATGATCTGTTATCATTAGACTCAGTTTTATTATTAATCCAACCAGAGTCTTTCATTAGTATTCATAACAAGATTTATTAACTGAATTTAATAATCACATATCTTATCAGATTAATAATAAACAATGTTATAAAGAAAGATCTCAATCAAAACTTAATAAAAAACATAAAATCTCAATTAATCAAAAAAAATTCAAGAATATAGAGCCTATATATAAAAAAATCCCATAATATTTACATGTTCTTGCCTTTTTTTTTTTTTTTTTTTTTGGGAACAAGAAGGTGGTCATCACGGTCCAGCATGCTAAATCAATTATTTTTTTAATTTAATCGAGTTTATATACAATTTGATCTAATTAATAGATAGTTTTACCGGCAACCAATGAGATAGTCTTGCCAATTCTGCTCTTAGTTTTCTCTCTTCACTGGAAAACAAAATAATTGGAAAAGAACAAATATAGTTGGAAAAAAAAAAAAAAAACCAAGAAGAAAGTGATGCATGATATGTAATTTCACGCCCTTTTCTTCCATTTCACCGTGACTTACGTTTTAGCCAGCTAGGAGTTTGAGGAAGATAGGGCTTCATAAATGCCATCCCAAAAATACAGTACAATCCATAAAATTAAGGACATGCTGACTCTTTTCAAAAATACATTAAATTAACAAATACTCCTTACGTATTAGCTCGTTTACAATCTTACTCTTTATCAATATTGTGGAAAATCAATTTTGCCTTTTAACTTTATAATTTTTTAATTTTTTTCAATTCAACGTTCCCCTTTCATTTAGTCTCTGTACAACACAGTTGATAAGATAGTCAAAGCATTCACATGCCAATTAAATCATGAAATAGGAGGGGAACCCACCCATAAAAGCCGCCCACACCCCCCCCCCCCCCCCCCCCCAAAAAAATAAAATTAATGAAAAAGTATGAATTTAGAATTCTTATCATAGATGGCAAAATTTATAACACTGCGAACTACTAAAAATAATAATTCAATATTTAATAAAATTCTTTTTACTACATTCATCATGTACGTCGGAAAATCTTGCTTTTATTTTTCATGCTAAATTTCTTTTTTTTTAATTTATCTTTAATGTATGTAAATAAATTGAATGTCTTGGTGACGTAGAAAATAAGGAGTTGTCAAATAAAAAGAATTATATATAGTAACCCGACACAATGCAAAAGTCTATATATAGATCATGGATGTTTGAGTGCCTATGAGGCTACGAGACGTGTATAGCTTATATAAAAGAGATTTGCATTTTCTTTTTAATTATTTTTAGTACAAGGAGTTAAAAGGGAAATGAATGGATTGGATCAGCGTTGTATTGTCACTTGGCCCTCAGAATTAGTGCAATAGTTTCAAAGGTAGACCCGGTTGAGAACTTGCGTTTCAGTTTCTAGTCCCGAGTATACGAGATGTTGGACGAGATGGTTTTCTTTTTTCTTTTAATTTCAACAATAACTCAATTTATGTTTATATAATATTTGAAGTTTTTCTTCTGTTATTAAATTTTTAATTACATTCTATTTGTTTCAAAAAATTATTAAGCATTCAAAATGTTCTTGTTTCTAGCTATGAACATATTTTTTTATCGAAATATCCTTTGTTAAAATGTAAAAAAATAAAATAAAATAAAAAAATAAATCGGATGACTTGTGTATCCTATTTTAAAAATCTTTAGAATTTTTTTAATTTTTTTTACATTTCAATTGAGAGTATTTCGATTAAAAAAATTATCCATGATCAAAAAAATTAATTAAAAAGACAAATTAAATATTTTCAATAATTTTCAAAAACATACGAGATATAATTAAAAATTTAGATTTTACACGAGATCAAGATTCCTACAATTTAAATTTTTTTTATTGAAATCTTAATTTTTATTCTATCCAATTTAAGAATTATACTCTTATGTTATTGCTTGTTTTAGACCTTAACGTGCCACGAAAACATAAGTGACAAACTCTAACAACTTGTCGCGTGTCAAGATATGTTAAAATTAGGTTTTAATAAATAAATAAATAAATTCTCATGAATTTTAGATAACTAAATAATAAATAAAATTAAAAACGAGGATAGTAAAATATGATTCGACCCTCGCATACCGAACTAAAAATCCTTTTCTTTTTCTTATTCATTTCGGTTTTTTTTTTTTTTTTTTGAATGAGTTTCTTGGGTCACGATTGGATTTGAATGATGAATCATGCCTCCCCACTAGCGGGATCGTTGTTACGAAATAAAAGGCGGGAAAGGCACGAGAATCTTGGAAGATGCTTTTCATCTATCGGTGCTATCGAGGTTATTCATTCAAGTGATTGAAAAGTTAAAGATATTCTTAACGTTCATGATGGAAACTCGAATGTTGAAGTGAAAGAAAGGAAGAACATGGAATGTGTTTAGGACTCGTAAGGTCAAGGTCTAGATTTTCAAAGCTTAATTCTCAAATTCCAAACCCTCATACCCAATCCTCAAGTTTATAATTATAAAATGCTGAATTTGCGGTCATTTTCTTCTCTTGTATTTTCATTTCTCCGCAATTTTCATCGGTGGTATCGAGCCGAGTTGAGAGATCCTAAACACTTGAGTGTGTGAGAAACGATCGAGTGTGAGAGAAACACATGAGTTTGAGAGAAACACCAAAAGAGAGAGATGAATTCGTAGAAAACTTCATCCAAGCTGCAATTCCTCGCTTTGATGGTCATTATGACCATTTGAGCATGCTTATGGAAAACTTTCTACGGTCTAAAGAGTACTAGACGAGTAGTTTGTTTAGGGATTCAAGAACCACCAGCGGGTATCGTGTTGACGAAGCACAAAAGGCTAAATTGGAAGCACGAAAATTGAAAGACACGAAAGCTAAGACTATCTCTTTCGAGGCCATTGATTGTCCTACCTTAGAAACCATTATTTGCAAAGAAACTTCTAAGGATATATGGGATTCAATGAAGAAGAAGTATCAAGGCTCAACAAGAACAAAAAGACAATAACTTCAAGCTCTTCGCACAAAGTTTGAAGCACTTCGAATGAAGACGAGGAGAATCCGTCACAGATTATTTCTCTCGCACCATGGCAATTGTGAACAAGATGCGTATTCATGGTGATAAGACCGAAGATGTCACCATAGTGGAGAAGATTCTTCGTTCTATGACACCAAAGTTCAATTATGCTCGTTTGCTCCATAGAAGAATCTAAGGATGTTGATACTCTTTCTCTTGATGAGCTATAAAGTTCCTATATGATTCATGAACACAACAAGAGCCGCAAGAGCAAGCATTGAAGGTTGCCATCGAAAACGTCTCTCCAGCAAGTAGAGGTCATGGTAGAGGAAGTAGAGGTCATGGCGGGAGTAGTGGTAGAGGAAGCAACAACGGTCGGGAACAAAACCGGCACCAAGAGCATTAAGCTCGAGGTAGAGGAAGGGGAAAAGGCTTTTATTCAACAATCTCCAAGCCAAAGTCAGCAGACAAGCCTAATGTTGAATGCTACCGAGTGTCATAGGTATGGTCACTATCAATCTGAATGTAGAACTAATTTGAATAGACAAGATGGAGAAAGAACTAATTTTACGGAGAAAGAGGAGGACAATGAAATGTCTCTTTTGATGGTGTGTCATGTGAAAGAAGAAATGCAAAAAGATCTATGGTACTTGGATACCGTACTGTAGCAATCATATGTGTGGAGACAAGAAAGCATTCTCCAAGCTTGATGAATCATTCAAAACGACCATGAAGTTTGGAGACAATTCGGAAAAAGGCTGTTGTGGGCATTGGGACAATATCCATTCAAACCAAAGAAAACAACACCCATACAATTTCGATGTTTTCTTTGTGC